TTTTTGAGACAGAGTCTCACTCTGTCACTAGGCTGGAGTGCAGTGGCACGATCTTGGCTCATTGCAACCTCCACCTCCTGGGTTCAAGTGATTTTCATGCCTCAGCCTCCCGAGTAGCTAAGACTACAAGTGTGTGCCACCACACCCAGCTAATTTTTTTGTATTTTCAGTAGAGATGGGGTTTCACCATGATGGCCAGGATGGTCTTGATCTCTTGGCTCGTGATCCACCTGCCTCGGCCTCCCAAAGTGTTGGGATTACAGGCGTGAGCCACCGTGCCCAGCCAGAACAGATCTCTTTTAAAAGAAAAAAATTCTCAAGGATCCAGAAGAAAACTTCAAGTTGGAAAAATTCTTCTAGTTAAGAAACCATGTATTTTCCTTAAATACAATCATTACTGTAAAAGTGAAGTCTTACTGCTTCTCAGCCTTTTGGCTAAGAGCAAGTGTACAAGTGAAGTTTTAATTGGTAAAACAAAAAACTAGATTCACATAAAAATAGAATCACATTTTAAAAATTATTGTACAATTATCTTTAACCTCATACTAAGAAACCATTTTCATGTAGTATATATGTACTGATGCCATACTGTCTCCCATATTAACAATAATTCTGCATTTTACTTATTTTTTCCTCTTTCTAGTAAGTTTTCAGAATTCTATTATGCCTTCCTCCTTCTTGGTGAGGCATACTGACAAAAAAGCAAAAATTGGCTGGGAGCAATGGCTCATGCCTGTAATCCCAGCATTTTGGGATGCTGTGTTGGGAGGATCACTTGAGTCCAGGAGTTTGAGACCAACCTAGGTTGGTCATGGACAGACCCTGTCTCTTTATAAATAAATGAATAAATAAGTAAGTAAGTAGACTCTGAGAAGCACAGCTCATCTTCACACCATCCTCACTCTCCCTCCCCACTCATCTGAGCACTAAATAAAGTGAACTACTCTTCCCTTTCCCTCGTTGGTTTGAAATGCCTATATTACAGAAGAGGTTTAATCCTGGCACTGACTCCTGGATGCCAAAAGCCAGGGGCATGATGAGAATGACAGATTAGTGGATTCTATAGGAGACTCAAGAAGAATTTGATTTCTAATCCTTTCTCCTGGCTGATAATATGAAACTGTGGTCCCCAACTTTTTCCCTCCCTCCCCAATAATGCAAGAGAACTACTACCTTTAGTAAGAGTCACTCAATAGATTAGCAATTCTAATGGAAGGTGAGGGACATTTAGAATTTGAGGCTGGGTGTGATGGCGCACGCCTATAATTCCAGCACTTTGGGAGGCCAAGACTGGAGGATTGCTTGAGCTCAGGAGTTCAAAACCAGCCTAGGTGACATGGCAAAACCCTGTCTCTACAAAAAATACAAAAATTAGCCAGGTGTGGTAGCACGTGCCTGTAGGCCTAACCACTTAGGAGGCTGAGGTAGGAGGATTGCTTAAGCCAGGGAGGCAGAGGTTGCAATGAACTAAGATAGTCCCACTGCACTCCAGCCTGGGTGATAGAGTGAGACCCTGCCTCAAGAAAAAAAAAAGAAAGAAAAACTCCTGTACTCTCAACCCCCATTCTGTTACCCACTTGCCTAACTGCTAATGCTGACTCTGCCAATAACCAACCACAAATAATCTCAAGCAAAGCCAAGATTTTCTGACATGTAAAATTAAAGAGTTGTACTAGGTGGTGTGAGGTCCAGAGAACCTGCCTTATATTACCTGTGGCCTGGTTAGGGTTTGAATTTTGCCTCTACCCTTTATATACCCTGAGCTCTCGATAAATGATACCTTTAATTATTGTGATTCCTAAGATCCCATACAGAGATGACATTTCACGTAATAGATTTCTAGAAATAACCAATTGGTTTCATTGCATCTTACCTGATAAACTCCAGCCATAAAGGTTACAGTGCTGCCAACCATAATTGCATAGCAACTTTTGTCACATATCCTGTCTGATGTATGATTTAATAATGTGCTCACATTTGAAACCATTCCCAAGGAAGGAGCACTATGGGCATTGTCATAGCCTGCTTTCTGTAGTTCTCGGTCAACTGTCTCACCAATCATAAGGCACAGTACTCCAAAAATGCCCACAGAGATGTGACGGGAGGTACCCAAGAGGAAATAAATGATGCTGGCAAAAAAAGATGTGTACAGACCATAGACAGGTTCTTGGCCAGCCAGTAGGGAATAAGCAATGGACTGGGGCACCAATAAAATGCCCACAATCAAGCCTGACATCACATCCCCTAAAATGTTTTTCTTTAGGTCGTATTTTGGGAGCCACTGCAAAACAGGAAGGAAACCTAAAATCATATTTTTGGCTTTGGTTGGACTGCACTGGCAATTCTTCTGCAGCTTTTTAATAACAAACTGCTTGAAGTTTGTATTTGATTTCTCTTGACGCTCAATAAGTATCCTAGGATAAGGTCTGCATTGATCATTGGTCTCAAATTGCTTCATGTCAGTACTTGATTCCCTTTGAAGCTCCAGATGGATCCCAGATGGAGAACTGGGATCATTTCCTTCAGCTGAGTCTCTGGGTGAAAGGTCATGTTGCTCTTTACCTTCCGAAGACATTTCTGGAGATGGGGTTCAGCTTCCTACACCAGAGAAAATACCAGTGTTCATCGATAAAGTAATTCTCAGGGCTCATATGTGCTAACAATTCTACTTGCCATTTTATGAGAGTTAAGAGAAATTCACTTTTGGAATAGGTATCTTATGTCCCTTTTCCTTAATTCAGACTCATTTGTCTTGGTTAGCGGACAAAAGAAAAGACCAGAACCAGACCATAAACAGCCAAGTCAAAGTAAATAACTGGCTGGGTACAGGACTTCTCCAGGGTGTAAACCACTAAGGATTCTTCTTCATATATGCCTGGCTCCCCCTGCAGTTTTTCCTCCAGAAAAGGTATAAGGGCAGCCTGTTTCCTTTCCACACGTATGCTACCAGTGGTCTTCTTCCCAGGTTTTTCACCTCCCAGGCAGATTGCAAAATAGGATCTGGTCTTAACCCCTGCTGTCACCTTAACCCCAACCTACCAGTCCCTGGAACAAGGAAGATGGTCCTTTTTTTTTTTTTTTTTTTTATTTTGGGTCCCTTTTTAAACAACCTGCTAAATATTAAATAAACAGAAGAAAAAGTAAGTTGCAGGGTAAAGATAAATGTTTTTGGCAATAAAAATAAACTAGGGCAGAATGCATTTGAGTCTTTGAACAGTACTCCCTTGCTTCCTAAGAAAGAGGAGACAGAAGTTGACATGAGGAAGTTGAATGTAATGGGCATGGAACGGGCTGATGGGCCAAGTGTCTAACACATGCTGTAGAAGGTTTTGGTCTATTCCACTATGTGGGCAGGGCCCACATTCATGTAAAATTCACTTTACTATTCTAAGTACACACTCTGCAACGCAGGTTGAATAGAGGAATAATGTTGCCCTGCACTTCCTGTATTGGAGGCAATACAGGTGATCCTCCATCTCTGGGTCCTACACTATAAAACTAATACTGTAAGACCTACCACTAGGAACTATAAGAAAACGAAGGAGGTAAAAATAACCAAAAGTGAGAAAGGACAACAACAAAAAATAAGTTAAATAACAGGAGTAAAAGAAGAAAATGAACCAGGGTCTCAAAGGAGTAGAGTATAAATTGTTTACCAAATACTTCAAGAATTAGTGCCTTTACATTAGCTGTTTACTTAGCTTGGAATAGCCATCCACCTCTGCCTGTCAAGATCCTAATAATTTTTTTTAAACCCAGTTATAATGCTACCTTTTCCAGAAAGCACTGACCAATCTCCCCCAGCCCAAACGAAATACTACACCCTCTGGGTCCCATAGCATGTTGCACCTCTATTATACTACCAACCATACTCTTGTATTAGCAAAGCAGGAATCTCCAGCTCCTGGAGGAAAGACATCTTGTTCATCAGTGTAATCTGAATGTAATGTAGTAACGCTGAGATAGCAGGCTTACAAAACATTTGAATCAATGAATCAACAAATGAACAAACATTTGTGACTATGGCCAGATAGAGACAATTTTTTATTTTTTTATTTTTTATTTTTTTTGAGACAGAGTTTTGCTCTGTTGCTCAGGCTGGAGTGCAGTGGCATGATTTTGGTTCACTGCAACCTCAGCCTCCTGAGTTTAAGCAATTCTCCTGTGTCAGCCTCCTGACTAGCTGGGATTACAGGCGCATGCCACCACGTCTAGCTAATTTATGTATTATTAATAGAGACAGGGTTTCACCATATTGGTCAGGCTGGTCTTGAACGCCTAACCTCAGGTGATCCACCCATTTTGGTCTCCCAAAGTGCTGAGATTACAGGTGTGAGCCACCACACCCAGCTGAGACAATATATTTCCTGAAGGACTCAGGAAGTTTCCTGTTTTGGAACTGACAGAAAAATGAGCCTTTGTGAGGTTCTATAAACCTAATGTTACGAAAGTGCCAAAATCCAGGACCTATGACTTATTCAAAAACACAAGATATGTAAAAGTAACCCATATTCATGTTGCTTAGGTTTAACAAGAGTAAATAGCATGTTGTACCTCCATTATGGTACTAACTATAACTATAGTTAACTTTTGATGGTCTTCTGAAGTAGATGAGGAAAGAAAGAATAGACTTAGATGACCACTGACCCTGAGAAAATCAATCAGGTTGATGGATACACCCAGCAGCTCTTTGCTCCACAATGCAACCAGTCTGTGACTCTCTTCTCATTTCCTGCTTTCTCGAGCTAGCTTGAGTGCACCAATGTCCTATTTTGGAGAGCTCTTGGTGATTTCTGGGTCAAGAGGTTTTTCCAAACCTAAGATATGCAAAAGAGACATAAGAAAAAACTAATGGAATCAAAATCTTGCCCTGTATGGCTGCTATCTGGGAAGAATATAGATAAAAATTAATACTAGAAAATACAACAAAGAAATGGAAGCTATAAGAAAAAATCAAATAAGTAATGCTAAAAGTGAAAAACACAGTAATAGAGATGAAGAATGCCTTTGATAGGATCATTAGTAGACCTGAAAACCAAAGAAAGAATCAATGAACTCAAAGACAGGTCAACAGAAATTACCTAAATTAAAATGCAAAAACAATTTAAATAACAAAACAAAATTTAAAAACCCAATATCAACAACGTACCATAATATCCAAGAGCTGTGGGACACATCAAAGTATCAAACATATGCATAATTAAAATCCCAAAAGAAGAGAGAGAATGGGCAGAAGAAATATTTCAAGATATAATGGCCAAGAAATTTCCAAAATTAATGAGACATCAAAATACAGATTCAAGTCACCTGACATCAGGAGTTCGAGACCAGCCTGACCAACATGTTGAAACCCTGTCTCTACTAAAAATATAAAATTAGGCCGGCCGCGGTGGCTCAAGTCTGTAATCCCAGCACTTTGGGAGGCCGAGGCGGGTGGATCACGAGGTCAAGAGATCGAGACCATCCTGGTCAACATGGTGAAACTCCATCTCTACCAAAGATACAAAAAATTAGCTGGGCATGGTGGTGCGTGCCTGTAATCCCAGCTACTCAGGAGGCTGAGGCAGGAGAATTGCCTGAACCCAGGAGGCGGAGGTTGCGGTGAGCGGAGATCGCGCCATTGCATTCCAGCCTGGGTAACATGAGTGAAACTCCGTCTCAAAAAAAAAAAAAAAAATACATATATATATATATATATATAATTAGCTGGGCATAGTGGCACATGCCCATAATCCCAGCTACTCGGGATGCTGAGGCAGGAGAATCATTTGAAACCAGGAGGTGGAGGTTGCAGTGAGCGAAGATGGTGCCATTGCACTCCAGTCTATGCAACAAGAGTGAAACTCTGTCTCAAAAGAAAACAAAACAAACAAGCAAACAAAATATGTATATATGTATACACACACACACACACACACACATATATATTCTACATTTATATCTATCTCCAAAAATCTCAGAGAATTCCAAGAAGGATAAATATAAAAACAAAATCATCACCTATACATATGACATTCAAGCTGCTGAAAACAAAAGATAAAGCGAAAATCCTGAAGACAAAGAAAAAACATATATTACTTATATAGAAACAAAAATAATAATTATAGCAGACTCCTTATTGGAAATCATGGAGGCCAGAACATGATAGAGTGGTATCTTTACATCCCAGAAATATGTATCTTTTTTAGAAATAGAGTCTTGCCCTGCTCCCCAGGCTGAAGTGCAGCGGCATGCAATTATGGCTCACTGTGGCCTCCAACTCCTGGGCTCAAGTGATTCTCCCACCTCAGCCTCCTGAGTAGTGAAGATTACAGGTGTGCACCACCACACCCGGCTAATTTTTAAATTTTTTTTAGAGACAGGGTCTTGATACTAAGCTCCCTAAGCTGGTCTCAAACTCTTGGCATGAAGTGATCCTCTCACCCTGGCTTCCCAAAGTGCTAGGACTATAGGTGTGAGCCACCACATCTGACCCCAGAAATACAACCTTTAACACAGAATTCTTTACCTAGAAAAAAATCTTTTAAAAGATAAGAGGCCAGGCATAGTGGTGTGTACCTGTGGCCCCAGCTACTTGGAAGGCTGAGGTAGGAGGATTGCTTGAGCCTGGGAGGTTAAGACTGCAATGAGCTGCGATCATGCCACAGCACTTCAGCCTGGGTGACAGAGAGAGATTCTGTCTTAAATAAAATAAAATAAATAAAAGATGAAAAAGAAATGAAAACTTTCTTAGATAAACACTAAGAGGATTTCAGGCCAGCAGACCAGCACCATATATATATATGTGGGGGGAAGAGGAGAGGAAGAGGAGGGGAGGAAGGGAGACAAAGACAGAGAGGGAGTGGAGAAGAGAAGAGGAGAAGGGGTAGAGAGAGAGAAACACAGAGAGAGACACAGAGAGACACAGAGAGAGAGACAGTTTCCAGAAGGTTCTTTAGGCAAAAAGAATATACCAATCAGAAATTCAGTTCTATGTAACAAAGAAAGTCCAGGAAATGGAACAAATAAAGTAAAATTCATTATTTCAATTAAAAAATATTTAATTGCTCTAAAAGATAACTGTTTAAACAAAAAATGGGGATGCATTTTGTTTACAGATATGCAAAATAAATGTGTGACACAACAATCACACAGAATGGGAGGGGGGATTGGGAATTTTAAAGTCTTTAAAAATTTTTTTTGATTATTATTATTTTTTAAAATAGAGATGAGGTCTCACTGTGTTGTTCAGGCTAGTCTCAAACTCGTGGGCTCAAGTGATCCTCCTATTTTGGCCTCCCAAAGTGCTGGGATTACAGGCATAAGCTACCATGCCCAGCAAATGATAAGGTCTTACAGTAGATGTGAAATAGTATATTATTTGAACATAGGCTCTGATTAAAGATGTACTTTTAAACCTAAGAGTAACCACTACATTTTAAAAAAGATATAAATAATAATAGTGGAAATAAAATAGAATCATAAAAAACTCTCAACACAAGAGAAAGTAGAAAAGAAAGATAAAAGATAAAAAACAGAACAAGCTGAAAACAGCTGGTAAGATGTTAGAGTTTAATCCAAAAATATCACATTAAATCTAAATGGTCTAAACATGCCAA